CACATTTCAAATGTCAAAACCGCACACTTTTAAGTCTCAAAACCGCACGCTTTTAAAGGTTAAAAACCGCACACATTTCAAGTGTCAAACAGCACACTTTTCATGTCTCATTATCGTACACTTTTTAGATCTCAAAACCGCACAATTTTGATTTTTACCTAAAAATATGTTTGATAAAATTGCAATTTTTAATTCGTAATATTTGGTAATTATGAAAGACTTCACCAAGGTTATATTCTTTGTATCTATGTATCTATCGTTTTGTATTGTATTTTATTTTGATCGAAGCAGTTTAAGATGAGCTTATATTAAGATATATTATTAGGTATCTCCACACATTATTTTTCTATAAATATATTTTCCATATATTTTGCTGTCAACTATTATTATCTGTGTACATTAAATAATGAACAACACAGATATATGATATATATGATATATATCAAATATTCATTATTTATTTAAATAATATTGATATTGGATTAGATATTGAATTGATTACAGACTAGTTAGTATATATGTGCGCGTTTAAAATGACTCGAGTTAATGCATAATAATTTAATTTATTTAATTTAATGTAAATTTTACTCTATTTAAAATGAATTTCAAATTTAATGATAGCATTAAGGTGGATAACAGTTTAATAATTCTATTACATTCTAATAATGTTCTATTAGAATCTATCAAAAAATCGAAATAGAAAATATAAATAAAATTAAAAATATAAACTTTACTATCTTTTCTTTTCTTATTTTTTTGATACTTGTACATTTAATGAATAAATTAGTTTTAAAAGTTTTAGATTTAAAATGAATTACTGACAAAAATTTATTTTTTACGTTATGTAAATTTATTATTTATTTATTTATTATTCAACGTACGCAGTTCATGAAGACTCAAGAAAAGTATTAAATAGTATTTAAAATCAATTTTTTTAATTGTAGCATAAAAAAATAAAATATAGCTATAAAAAAAATAAATGGATAATTCTGTATAATTTTTATATTTTAACGATTAATAAAATAGTTTTTATAATAAAAAAAAGTATGCAGTTTTTTTTTAACCATATTTTCAGGTAAAAATCAGAAGTATGCGGTTTTAACCCATGAAAAGTCTGTGGTTTTGGAATATAAACAAACATCCTCCCAGGTTGTCAACTTTTCCCACGACGACACCTGGAGAATTATCCAAAAATGCGACTAGTCTCATAATCAATTTAATCCATTTGAATGATTCTTCAATGTCAGGTCATTAGAATTATTTTAACTTGTTTTCATACAGAACTGCAGATGACTACTATTTCATATGATAGGTTTTTCATCAATTATTATGTTTGCTTTTAGCTCTGTTGGTGTTGATAATTGAAATAAATCGTTACTCATCAAAAACATTTTTAAACATTACTATCCATAGTAACTTTAATATCAATTACATTTTAATAAGAATTTTACCCGGAATTATATAAAACTAAATATAAATCGTGAATTAATGAAGTTAAATTTATAATTTTATTTTCTTGAATGTTTGATCTTCAACTGTTCTGCATTGTATCTGTCTAACTAGTTAAGAACATCAACAATTTTATTCTTGTAATTTCCTAATATTTATACAAGTAATATATGTATTTGTAAATGTATTACTTATAAGTTATAATAGTTGATACAATTTTTTTTTTTTAGCTTATTCCGGATGTTGTAGGTCCTACACCGCTTCTATTATATCTCTCCATACTACCCTGTTCTTTGCTAGTTGTTCTCTCTCGTATTCCCAGGAGCTTGAGGTTGTCCTTGACTCAATAAGACCATCGTTGTTTTGGTCTCCTTCTCGGTCGTTTTTTGTATGGTTTCCATAATGTGATGTTATGCACTGTTTGGTCCTCCACTCTCCAAAAGTTTATAAAATATTTCATTAAATTAGTTATAAGTTATTATTAATTTTATTAAATATTTTGTGTATGATAATTATGTTATTATTTATTATCTACTTATTAGTAAATAGATACTAGGGTCTATTAATTTTAATGTTATTATCCTATATCTATAATTCTTGTTTTGTTTTACCAGGATAATGTTTTATGATAATCTACGTAATGATGAATACAAAGAATGCAAATTCTATAAATTGTAATAATTCTCAAAATGAAAATAAAGAACGTCAAAATAGTGATAAAAATACTGTGAAGGTATTTATAATGTCTGCCATATACATTAAATTTTAATCCAACTTTTGTATTCATTCATTGTTTTAGAAAATTCCAAGAATGGATTTAAATAAGTCTGATTTATTAAAGCTGTTGAGCTATTTAGAGGGTGAACTTCAAGCAAGAGATGTTGTTATTGCAACTTTAAAGGTAATAACTGTTTACATTAGTCTCAAGTTTCAGTTTTTTTAATCATATTTATTTATAATATGTGTATATATAAATACATATACAGTGTGAAAAAGTCAAATCTATGCTAAAAAACAGAGGAAGTGACCATATCATAAAAGATCCATTAGCAGCCCTACAAAGAGATTGTTTTGCAACATTTGAGACAAATAATGATAGTCTTTCATATCAACAATTAGGATCCCTTGAAAATCTTGTTTTACAGCAAAGAAGAACTCATTTAAGGATAGCTAATGTTTTAAAAGATAACCAAATAATGCATCGAAAGGTAAAATATTATATTATTACTACTTTTTTTTTTTTTTAATTTATCAACTTATTGATAAAATAATGTTATCCCATGAGCAAATGGATCCAGTGGGGGACCACTGGAGGTAAGTTATTAAGGACATAGCTTGAGAGAACTAGTATCATATATTAACAGGGTATATAAGGTATTTCCAAACAGACCAACATTAAGATGTGTTTTAGTTTGATCTTAGAAAGGACCTTCATGCCAATTTACTTACTTAATAAATTAATGTTTTGGAACAAATTATTTAGAATCATTATTAATGTTTGAACTTGAAATATTTTATAGTAAAAAGTGTTTAACTTAATGTTGAGTTGATATTTAAAACATCTTCCCACTTTTTACAACACAAGAAGCATTCAACTGATGTTACACAATAACAGTTTTAGTACAATATTGTCAAATTATTTTTGAGGGAGGTTTAAGCCCCTCTTTCATACATACTCATACATACGATCAGCTATATTATATAATTTCTCCTTAAAAGTGCTTCGAGTATAAATAGATGTTGGATCTGCTTTTGTGTTATACTTATTACATATAATATCGAAAACGGTTATTTCTTTTAAAAATCAAATAGATATTATTCCAGCATATTATTTAAACTATTAATAAATGGAAAAGTTATTTTAAGTAGAAAATATGATAACTTAAGCATAAAAAAATTAAGAACAAGTCTTAACAACATATTGACATTATATTAGTTAAAAAAAATTATTACCAAACCTTATCTGTGTATTATAAGATAATTTTTTCACAATTTTTTTTAATTTATTTTATTTCTATATAATTTAGATATTAGATCTAGAGCGGTTAAAAAAACAACAACTTCAATATGAATATAAGAAATTGCATAATACTTATGAAGAAGAACGATTAAAACATAAACAAATTGTGTTTTTTCTACTAGCAGAAAGAAAAAAAATTGTTATGAAGTATATTGAAGAAAGAAAACGTTCAGAAGATCTTGGTCAAGTAAGAAATTAGTCATCATTAAGATTAATGTTAATAGTTTTAAATCTACATATTTTAAATATAATCATTATATTTGGTAATTGTTTATTTCATAAATTATATGGTAAAATTGATTAATGGATCATTAAAGTTGAAGTCCAATTTTTATTATGAAAATGGTTTCATGATTCATGTTTCTTCTTTTTATAGTATACATTTCACACTCGGTTATAAATTTGATCCATTCATCAGATGTTTTTTATGATATTTAAGAATAAATGTATATTTTGATGAAAATCATTGGTTTGGATTATTTAGCAACATTTTATGATGAACAGTTTTTTAAATTAATACTAAGATTTAATTATGTATTATAACTTATTATATTAGTATCTTATTACAAAAAAAAAAAAATGTTTATATATTCAACATAATTTATTTATTAAATATACTACATTAAAAAGTAGATATCTGTTTTAAATTACAATATATTATGGTATTTAAGAATAAAATTATCTATTTAAAATATTTAAATGTTCTTAATCATAATGTTTAAAATTTGTATTTAAGCTAAAATTATTTTTTGAGTTGATAATTTTTTTGTCGTCTATAGATATTAAGTGAAGAAAAAAGTAAAATTAATTTAATGGCTGAAGGATTAGAAGAAGAAAGTAAAAAATCACTTCAAATGGAAGCAGAATTGGAAAAACAATTGGCCTTATTTGATACTGAAACCAAAAGAATGATGGCAGCTCTTAGCTCAGAAGAAAAAAAGTAAGATTTTTATCTATTTATTTGATGTGTGCTTGAGAATTAAGATGTTTGAATTTATAATTTATTTATTTGCCATTTTTTTTACAATAATAATTTAATTTTTCACTTTATAAACCAAAATAATTCTCTTCAAAATATTTTTTTTTTCTAAATAAAATTTTTTACATTTTTTTTTTTTTAATTTAATGTTTGTGGATTGTTTAGTTTTATATGTATATTCTTAAATTCATTCATTTTATAAAGTTCAATTTTTCTTTTTTAAAATATAACTATTTTTTTAAATGAGAGAGGTGGTATGTATCAAGTATAAAAATATTAAATTTAAAAGTTAAAGGTCAAGTTAAACATATGGAATTATAAAAAAGAATATGAAGTTTTCCGATATAGTTACAATCAGAAAAATAATTGCATTATGTTTAATTAGTTTCATTTGTATTTGTTATAATTATTCAAAATTATGAGCAAAATAGGATTTATTTTTGTTATATTCTTCTTTGTATTATTCATCTATGTTAAGTAGAATATTAGCAGTACTGTTTTTTGGTACACATTATAGAGGAGTTAAATTATACATACTTAACTTGATTAGTGATGAATAATGCTAAGTATTAACATTTATTTATGTTTGATATTCTAGAACAAAATCTCTAGAAGCAGAATTAGTCAAATGTCAAAGTGAAATTGCTTCATTAGAAAAAGAATTGAGCGAAGCACTTCATAATAATGTAGTGGAGCTATCCAATAGATCTTCTGGTAATTACTATACATGTTATTCATAATTATTGATTAGTCGATATAAATGAAATAAATTACTACAGTATTTATTTATTGTTAATTTATTTTAAGTTCTTACTGTAATTTTAATGTAAAATGTTTGTAAATGCAGCTGGTAGAATAATGTCTTCTCCTAGTGATCCAATAATGAGTAGTGTTGCAAAAGTGGTTCAGCCTACAGCAACTGCATCTAGTGTTCGAGTTTCTGGGCCAAGTAAATAATGCATTTTATTAAAAACTATATCATAATTAATTGTTATATAAATCTAACATAATTTTAAGTTATAATAATATAAAATGTTTGTATCTAATTTATTTAAGTAAAATTAAAATAAAGAATGAACTATTAACAACTATTTGATAATTATTATAGATAACACTAAGAAAAAATTGAATACAAATTAATGTTTTTTTTTTGTCATTTGGGATTGCAGTTTAACACTCAATTGAAAAATTGATTTTATAGCAATTATAATTTCCTTTATGAAATATTCAATTGAAGTAGTATTAAAATTATAGTTCTTACATAGAAATATTTTGTACTTTTTTTAGGTTATTATTTTAATTTATAATATTTATTATTTTTTACAGTGACTGGAATTGCTCGATCAGTAAATCCTGGTCAAAATTTACGTAATATAAAACCAGTAAATAGTCAAATTAATGATACACAGGTATTTAGACAATTTTTTTTTTATATTTTTAAGATATACAACATTTATTTAAACCAAAAACATAAAAGGACTACATAATATTCATCATGTTATAGGTGGATAAACTTCAAGAGGATGACGATTGTACTACACCTTTAGATACTATTAAAAAGCATCCAATTGCGTTTGTTCGTAGTATGCAATCAACAGAGTGTAGTTCATCCAGTGGTATTAAAAAAGCATTGTTTGGTATTCAACGTAACATGTCTGTTCCCAATGTAGCAGAAAGCAATGTTCCAGGATTAATTAAGAAACAATCTACGCTTAGTAGTAGCTGTCGCGGTACACCACCTCCTGTTCCTCCAAACAAACCTATCATACCACCAAAAAAGAATCTTGTAAATTTTATTAAACAAATATCAGTTACTGATAATGCTGTTGCTACGACTGCTGCTGCTACTGCTGATAAAGAACAAAAAGACTCTCTACTCAGACACAATAATTATTTATCTAACGATATTGCTGCAGTTGATAAACAAGAAGAAACGGTAGAAAATTAGAACTTTGCAATTAGTAACATAATAATTTAAAATAATTAAATCATATAAAAATTATATTTTTTTATAATTATTCTTTAGATTTGTGTCTGAGAAAAATGAAAAACACCCAAAACATATTTTATTAATCCTATTTTAATCTTAGATATTCAATATTAAATTAAACAAATTTTACACCTATATTATATTTTATAAATACTTAATTAATTTATTATTTCTATATTATCTTTTGGCTACTAATTATTAAAAAGTTCCTAGACTATGCATCTAATATAGTTCTATTGAAGATTAAAAATGAAAAATAACATTCTAAAATACATTTTAGTTAACATGCCTCGTGTTTCATAATTCATCAAAGTGTAGTTACCGTGGGTTAATATTTATATCTGGGCTATGCTCATTTTTGATTTTACATGTTCCAATAATTATAGTAATATAAAACATTAGAAATATGTTTTATAATTAATATTATTAACTTTATTGTATATCATAAAAAAAATAATTTATGAATGAATAGCATTGTCCATCAACGTAGCATATAGGCCCTGGGAATATAACTTACTGTTAGATATAATGGAAATGTCGACATCATATTATCCCTTCTGAATGAAGTAATAATATGTTTTATTTTGAATTACTTTTAAAATTTAGTAGAATAATAAATGATAAGAACATAATATACTGTATACTTAAACGCCAATCAATATTATATCAATAATGAATATCAATACATATAGTTGACATTAAAGTACTTTAAAGTAGTATAAATTGATATTTTAAAGCAATTATTTATTTTCATAACTTGTATGAAATATAAACTTAGTAAAATAATTTATTGTAGTTTTATCTAATTTTTATCAACTTACCAAATGATTGCAATAAAATGTATACAATATATATTATGTTAAGGAACAATTTATATCTTGAATTATAATTAGATATACATGATAAAAATAAGTATATTATGAATTGTTAAAAAAAGAAACTAGTAGCCAATTCATTTTATTCATAACATAATTATAACAATTAATAAAATTTGAATCCTTAATACAATTTAAACAATTATAAATTTGATACAGTTTTTTTTTTTTTTTTGGATTTCAAAATTAAAACTAACTTTATAAAAAATATTAAATTATTTTAGTAAACATACAGAAAATATATAAGCAGACAACGTAGTATAGATTATTTATCATTCAGTCTGATGTAGAAAAAACTAGTGCAGTTCTGGTTGGCAAATACAACTGAAATATATTTTTAAAAAACATATTAGTTATTATAAGTTACAATATTAAATATGTTAAATTATATAATATTAATTACAAATTATAAAATCAATAGAGAGAAATATAGAAACTTGCAAATATATATTGAATAGATACATACTAATCTTTTATGATGAAATGCTGTTTTATTTTATAACCGAATACTAAATATGATGTAGTATTTAGTAAATCTTATTAATATAATTATATATAATAATTAATTGCATGAACAGTATATTTAAAAAATGTATACAATTTAAAATAAAGTAAAATTTTATGTTTTCAAAGGTAAATACACCATTTAATTTAATTATTTATTATAAATGTCATATTTGAAATTTTTCGTTTAAAAAAAGTTTTTAAATTCTTGATAGCTTTATTCGAAATAGTAAAAGCGGGACCCAAGTGTAATGAATTATATTATTAATATTAAACCAGATATTAAATATAATTTTCCCTTGTAATGAATTTGCTTTCAAAATATACCTAATTGTAGTACAAAATGTATCAGATATTATCATTAAGGTGTTTAATACAATTTTCTTTTAAAAAGCTGTGCCAATAAATAGAAATTGTTTTAATATTTAAGAATTTTTAGGTCCCATAATTTTATAGTAATTGTTGTTAGTTGAATTATTTTATTATTTTTTTATTTTAAGAACATTTTATGTAACATATATACGTAGATATCTTAGTCTTATATGAACTTGCCAACATTTTTCAAAAATTAACCTATTTATTTTATAATATTTTGTAATACTTAGAACATAGAGTGATTTAATGGTTTTTTTTACTGTACTATAATTTAATTGTATATTTTACTATGTGTAATCATTTTTAATTTAATATTAAAAATAATTTGTTTACACTTGCAAGTTTTGTTAATCCTTTTATGTATAAAATAATTTTTGTACTTTTTACTCATGTATCATCTCTGAGGACATTAACTATAAGATAATATTTTATGAAATATTATTTCATATTATTATGAAGTATATATATATTATGAGTATATATTATAAACTGTAGTTTCTAACACAGTAATAAATAAAAATTTTTAATTATTGCCATTAAAAAAAAATTGTCTTGGGTTGCTATAATAATATTTTATAAGTATTTGGTATATCGATTGATACAAGTTCAAATATTAACTTACGTAGATATGATTTTGTCTACCACTCCATTCACCGTTACTTGTTGTGTACACAATGTTAGTATCAATTCGATTATATCCACCATATTCTGGATTATCACTATTTAAAACTATTTTCAACGAACCCGACAAATTCAAACCCACTTTATAATCAGTAAAGCTCTTGGTTGGGTGAAAATTAAAAACAAACAATAAACCAGCTCTTTCAAAAGCAATTATCTTATCATCTTCATGTTTTAAACTGACATATGCCTATGTTAAATTTTAAAAATTTTATTTTATAATTAAATTTTTTTTTTTATTTCGTGATTATTTATACACTTACTGGATTATCGTTCAACCATCCGTATTTACTTTCTAAGTGATTCATACTCTTATCGAAATCGTTTAGAAATTTGTATTTCAATAATTTATCATCAACTAAATTCCACTGTCGTCTCGCATAGTGGTATGAATTTTGATTACCATCACGAGGGAAATCTAACCATTCCGGATGTCCAAATTCATTTCCTTGAAAAAAAAAGAAAAAAAATTATTAAAAATATATTTAAAGTGGTAAGTTGAAAATACTTTACCAATGAAATTTAAGTACGCTTCGCCACCAAGACTGTGGGTGATCAGCCGAATCATTTTGTGTAAAGCTATTCCACGGTCGATGATTAAATTAGGTTCACTATTCACAGACATGTGGGTATACATTTCCTTATCCATTAACCAAAATGCAATTGTCTTATCACCAACAAGAGCCTAGGGTGGAGATAAAAATAATCCGTTATTACATGTTTTCAAATATTTCGTGTGAAAGTACTTAATAATGCATGGTATTTAAATATTGAAACAATAATCAATCATATTATCTATCTCTGATAAAATAGTATAATCGAAATATTGAGTTAGAAATTATAAAATATAAAGATATAGATTCATTCCTTGTTATGAATTGATGAAATAAACGAAGAAATCAAATATTAATTAATGTCTTTCTCTGAGAAAAAAATTGATTCAGTACAAAATTATGCTTGTAAATAAAATATTTTGTAAAAATATTGCTTTAGGGTAACGACGTTGTTAAAATAAAGTATTCGATTTGATATAAACCTGGTCGTGGGATTCTGCATAGGAAACGGTTTTTTCCATCCACCTGCGGTTTGTAAGTGTATGAACGATATTTCCCATGTTCCAGTCATCGTCTTTAACTTCCTTCAATAGTTTTATCCACATGTCGGGTATGGCCATTCCTAAACGATAATCGAATCCAAGTCCTCCTTCATTGACAGGTCGACAAGATGATGGCATCCCAGATACATCCTGCACAAGGGCACATTGTAAATACATGTATATGTATTAGAAAAACGTATCCTTAACGTTTTTCAAATATTACTTACCTCGGCTACAGTTATGCAATCGGGATAGAACTTATGAAGGACATAATTTGCCAACATCAAATAAACTAATGCGTCGGTATCAACATTGAGACCGAAATATTCATCGTAATGGCCACTAAAACCTTGGCCAGCACCACGAGAATGATACAACATCGATGTAACTCCGTCAAACCTTTATCGAAACAAAACCAGATGCATATAGAAAACACATTTATTATTTACATTTTTTTTTTCAATAGATACCTGAAGCCATCAAAACGATATTCTTCAACATACCAACGCAAATTCGACAACAGAAATCGTAACACTTCGTACCTGTAAATAATTGATGGTTTAAAATCAGTAAGTTATCAATATATTTATACTTACTCGGAATAATTGAAAAGTCTGCTATCCCATAGGGGGTGATTTCCTTTAGGTCCATCATGGAAGTATCCCGCGTTTGTACCATCGAACTGATTCAAACCATCTAACACATTTTTAGACGCGTGGGAATGTACAACATCCAACATCACATAAAGACCTTTACTGTGGGCTACATCAACTAGTTCTTTAAGTTCTTCGGGTGTTCCAAAACGACTGAAATTAATAATTTAAATTGACATGATATTACGATAATCTACAACCTATACAACTAAGTATGAACAATTTTAACCATGGTTTCAAACAGTAGCTTCATTAAGGGGGGAGCGACTCATACATTCGCCACAATCTTGAGGTTAGCTATTCCAAAGTCGGCAAAATATATCAAAATATAAATATGTCTTTTATAAAGCCATTGTCGTGTTGTAAATGAGAATAATGAGACATTTACTATATGTGTACTTATGTACAAAGTACAAATCATTATATTTTTGAACTGGTTTGAAGTCCCCCTCTCCTAGCATTAATCGACACATAGGTAAAATGAGCCGCCGACTCAGCTATTAAATAATAGCATGCCAACTACCCTATTCTAGAAATATTGAAATTACGCCATTGGTTAATGTATACCAAGGTATATAGTTAGGATATACCTTGGGCTGTTGTACATAGGGTGGTAGAGTTGCATTTATTTTAATTAACAAAAAAAAAGTTAATCCGTAATTAAAGAATCTATTTTGAAACTGATCAACTTTTGTAATAAACCAGACAGTATAAAAATAAAAATAAAAATAGGAAAAATATTGAATAATAAAATTAGTAATTTTAATTTGACGTGTGTATTTATTTTTCCTTTTGAAAATTAGATAAATTTAAAAGACAATAATTACAATACATTAATTATATAGAAACGGATACCTACACACAGTTTTTTTTTTTTTTTTTTTTTTTGTTAGTTTAAGGTGTATTCAACATAACACATTTTTCAGACTAATGAATAAATATAAGAATTTTCAATTTTGGTTTTATGTTATGTTATAAGATAACATGGTTTTTATAAATTTTATTAAAAAATAATCGGAAAAATATTATAACCTATCTTGAAAATTATGTACCTAATATTTTAATTGAATAAAATATCACACGGATAAAATATATTTATTACCTCGAAGCTGCATAAAAACTTGTCACTTGATATCCAAAGCAAGCGTAGTAAGCATGTTCCATAATAGCCATTATTTGAATTGCATTATATCCTATAAAAATTCACAATGTAAGTACAATTTTAAGTTACAACTTTTATCTACACTGTAATCAATTACCCAAATCAATTATACGATCCAACATTTTATCTTTAAACTCTAGGTAGGATCCAACTTTATATTCTGATGTGGCGATTCCAACATGACATTCGTATATGCGCAAGCTGGATGGTTTGGATACTTTAGGGTATTTAAATTGATATACCTTAAAAATATAATTTTAAAATAAATATATGAACTGAAATTTTCATCATCGGGTACTTAAATGCAACATAAACATAGTATAGAACTGTTTAAACTAATAATAATAATAATAATAAAATAATAAAAAATAAAAATAATATATATTTATAATAATTAAATAATACAATATATATATATATATATATTATATTTTAACGCTTAGCCTGGAGTATTATTATATTTGTAAAATACGACCGGTTTCGAATTAAATTATATTAATGTATATATCATATACTGACGATGAATTTTTAATGCGAAACTGATCACCGATCGTACTTTAAAAATATAATAATACTCCATGTTAAGTATTTATTTATTTATTTCTATATATATTAACTATTTATTTATTTATTTTTGCATTGATTATTAAATATTATTGAAACTTACATGGTCAGATGGATTCCAAATTTTATGTTTAAAAGTGACTCCTTGTTCACGGGGAGGTTGCACTACGTATGTGGCCCAAGGTGATATACGATCTACTTTATGACCATGATGATTTTCAACGACAATCTGTAACGAGACCCTTTAATGTTAATCAATACCTTACATAGGCATGCACAGACCTCTTTTTTAGAGTATCTAAAAGGCTAACACTGCCCTCTTTCGTTGAAAGTTATTTCAAGAGCTCGAAATTCTGATAAAAATATGTACAAAAATGTCTAAATTATTGTGTAATTTAAATTTAAATTTTTCTTTAAAAAAGGGGCTGAATAGCCATTTCTTTATAATTATAACTTCTTGCTCTGTAGTTGAAAATATTAAGTTACTTAATCTATCTTGAAGCATAGTACTTTTTAATTTCATTAATACATTATATCATTATTACATTAGTATAAAACTTGTGTTTTAAAAATAAATAAAAATGTCTGGGACTGAATATAAAAAATATAATAATTATAATAATAGTTATTGTATAATAGAAAATCATATAATATAAATTTAAAAATAAAATATGTCATGCTTTTTATTTATTTTTGGTATATTTATAAATAAGGCTCTGTGTTCAGGATATACAGCTACATACCCTGCATACCTTCTACGCATGCCTATGATATCTAATATATTTAAGTATAATAATATATTACACCACCTTTATTTCAGATAAGTGCTTAATAACTGGTGTTCCGTCACTGCTGGGTGGAATAGTTAATTCCCATTTGCCATACTCAAGTTTTTTGTATGGGTAATTTTCTCTATTCCAATCATCTGGAATTAAAATTATAATTCATAAAATACATTTGCTAGTTTTCGAAATATCAATAAAATGCATACATTTTAGCCCTTGAAAAATTAATAGAATAATTATTTTATTGTTTTATAAGTACTTGTAGCTAGTTTTTAGACTTATTTATTAAGATAATATCATTACTTGACATATTATTTTTAGACGAATAGTAGTAATTAATTGGGACAGCAAAGTTATCACGTTTCACGTCCTACGAATATACGAGTATTAAGTATTAATTTAATAATAATATTATAATAAATTATTAATATATATAATTTTTAATATAATACATACCACATATTTTTCAGAATATGTTTAGAAATTTACTAATTTTAATACCAAGAAAGAAGTACGTAGTAAAAAGATTAGAACGGCCAACTTTTGTCAAGAATTGTATGAAGAACCATGACGATATAGCATGGAAAAATTTAGTGAATTTAAAATTTTTTTTTTAATTTTTAGTTTTCTAGCTGTTGCAAAAACTGATCACCTATCGAGATTCACGAAGTTTTTGGATTTTTGTCTTTTCTCAAAATATTCAACATTTCATTACGCAAAGGATTTACTTAATTATAATTTATAAATGTTTGAAGAGGTTTAACTTCATATTCTTACTTTGTCTGATACCTAAATAATATTTAAACTACAATATGAGTATATCGTGAAAAATATGGGTACATACTAAAGTCACCAGTGAGGTAGATTTGTTTGGCTCCTGGAGCCCATTCCAAACAATAAATGGACCCATCGTTATTGAAATGAATACCATATTGCTTGTAACCAGTAGTAAATGATTCCAAATTTGATTCTTCTTTTACCCTTTCCAAGTAATCCAAAAAGCACGCGTACCTAAAGAAAAAATAGAGATTTATAACGAACATGAATTATTTTTAAGATATACTCAAAGTAGTTGCATTCGATAATAGTAATACAAACAATAAATGAAATAAAATTGCTTGTCGTTCTAATTTCAAACATAAGTCAGTATATTATTATTACGTTTTGAGTTTTGAATAAAAAAAAAAAAAAAAAAAATGATCCAGTGAAATGGTATATCCATTTACCGACCATAGTATAGAGCAATGTTACAGTACACGCGTAGTTGTTATCGCAATAATAATACGGTATTAAAAAAGAACCTAGGAAAATAGTACTAATAGTAAAGTAATTGTTTTAAACGATATTTAATTAAACACCGGAGACGCGTTGCGCGTCTTACCTGCGTTTGAATTCCCTCTCGTAAGGCTTCAGATAGGGATCGCGGTCCAGCTGGTTCTGCAGCTCGGGCACTTGCACGTCCATGGGGTTCATTTTGGAGTGTTTGCCGCCCATGGCAGTAATAGCGGTGAGCCGAGATATTAGTTGGCAACGAGCGACGGTCGAGAGAAACGGACGGACGGACGGGCCGGGAGAACGAGAGAGCGAGAGAGAGAGAGAGAATTCGGTTATTTGGAAACTTTCCCGAATTTCGTTTCCGTCAGTGGTGCGGTGTGCGGCTTTTGGCGGCGGATCAACTACTGCTGTTGCTGTTATTACGCGAGAAATGGCATTCGGATAACCGAGCGCGGCTCGTAATGATAAACCGAACGTGGGAAACGAGACGCCCGTGTTCACGTGCACGGATTGGAGGGGGCGAAAAAACCCTACTGAGAAAAAATGCAACGGAACGGTACCGCAAAACGTTAAAACCGGGTACGGTTCAATCCGGAGCACACACAACGTCGCTCGTTACGATAATATTACAACGTTATTACTGCCTAGCAGAGTTAAATAATACGCAGCTCGGCGGGTCTTATCGAACGGAGGTGTACACACGGACGATAAAACATTATTACGTCGACCTTTAGCCGGCGAGCGCGAGAAACCCGGGGCCCCACCTGTTGATCGACCGTCGTCGTCGTCGTCGTCGTCGTCGGGTCCGTTGCAGATAACGCCGACTGCGATTACGGTCATTACTCGCTCATTACCATAACCAAACGTCGTCGCTGCAAGCACGCGCGCGTGTAATTTCCAAGCGTACAATATCAAATGTTCCACCTGGTCGTTTGTAAATCCGTACCTACGCGAGTGCACCTCGGCCCGACAACAATGCCCCCTCCCCCATCCCTCAAACGCACGTCGTATCGGTTTTCTCGTTCCGGTGTCGTTTTCCTGCGACCGGGATCACCTGACCAGCGCGCTGTTGACGAACATTCTCCCCGACCAACCATCCGGTTTCCGATACGCGATCAAATCAGTACCTTGTACAACGTAGAACGCAGAGTCCGCGACCGTCAAGGCAGTAAAATATCGTGTCATATTGTATTATGGGTTAGACACCTAAATCGACAATCATATTGCGGGGTAGTTCACTATAGTTCGTACACTCGGGTGTTACATCGATACCTTCGATCACGCGAACGCTGTAAAAACTCAAAATATATACCTACGTCGAATACCGCAATGTTGAGTTTTTAACAACTTTTCATATAAGGTTATGTATTAGTGTAGATAGTATATACATCGATAAATATTATCGCTGTGTAGTTATCACATGATTTATGAATAAATATATGTGTTTAATGTAATAAATTAATTGCAGTTATTAAGTTTTACATTTTTATCTATACGACCCGGTTTAAAAATATAAACACGTTGAATTGATAATTAATTGTTATCTGTTGATTTAGTCATTAGTAAAAAGTTTATATATATAAATATGTGATTTGATGCACAGTCAAAGTCCAATAACCATACGAAAAGCGCTCTACTATAGTTTTGTGATTTAGTTATTTGTGTAGTTTAGTTTAATGAGGGACGAACTTTTAGTCTAAAAAAACAACTGGGATTTAAATTGATAACAATTAATTAAATATTACAAGTGCTAAGTACAAAAAACAGCCACATTATAAAGTTTTTATTGATTTTCAAACATATAGGTATTTTTAATTTTTATTTATAATGCATTAACAAGGCATTAGTGTAATAAATTATCTATACTTCATAATTAAGGATTCGGGTCATGTTGCATTTGTGTATTGTTTAATAATGACTGTAGAATAGTTTAGGCAAGATTTAAATTTATTATAACGGATTGAAATACAAATATTTTAATTGCATATTATCGAATATAGTATTTCGCCGTTTTCTGAGCAAATCGCATATTTGACAAAGTTGGCAATTTAATTGTTATTTATAGCAAATTTACACAGTTTTCGTTTGATATTAAGTAAATTTATTTTAAAGTTTAACATTATTTTTATTTTTTTACTTTCAAACATTAGTCAATATACCTAATCATAGAACGAGATAGCGCAGGGCAACAAGGGAAATACCTGGTTGGGAAAGTTCCTGCGTATACTGTAGGTTATCATAAATTGTTTTAAATATGTAAAAGGAAAATAAATATTCAGCTTGTTTTTTTAATTTTAGGAAAAGATGAATAAAAAGAAATTGATCATATACAGTGATATAATGTTTATAGTTTTATTGTTACCAAAAAATACTAATTAAAAAAAAAATTGTTTACATTTAAATGAATAAATAATAAATAATAAATCAAATTTTTTAATTTCCATATTTGTTGCATATTTTTGCGTATATTTTGGTTATTTTATGTGCATATTTTCTACAATTTGTATGCAATAAGTCACGAACCTTATTCATAACTATACAAAATTTGCAAAAATTTGATTGTTGAATAATTTTTAATAATTAACATACTTGTAATAGTTTACGATTATAATTCATTAGTGAAATTATACATAGAAACATAGCATATCTTATTAAATTATGAACATATATAATTTTAATTTACTGTTGGAAATAATATTAGTGTTTATTTGTATTAAATATATTGTTTATTATTAATATTTAATACTTTTAATTATGTATATATATATTATTGTACAGGTATGCTTCAATACCGAAAAATTCAGTAACTAAGCAAATTCCCGTTTTACTCGATTGAATTAATTAATTTATTTAAATAATTGTTACAATAACTTCAATAATAATTATAATCAAAGGTCAATGTATTTGTTCGGAATTTATTCGAACATTTTTGCTAACCTAAATAATTTTTTTACCGTTATTTGAGTCCTATTATTTGTATTATATATTCAAACAAACAAATTAAATATTAATACATATTGATATGATTATTAAATATAAGTATATATTTATATGATTATTAAGAACTATCATAAATGTTATTCAATGTTACAGAATTATTAATCGCATTTTACTCGAACCTACGTCATATTATTTATCTATAAATAAAAATCTAAAAAAAATCTAATTTTTTTATATAGTGATACACGTTGATACATCGAAATATACACAACAACTCCATTCGTTCCTACAAATGTTATAATCATGAACAAGTTTAATGCATTTTTGACACCATTTTGACAACATTAAAATGCATTAAATATATTTATTATTAATAATAATAAAGACTTAGTTACTGTCGCTGTATAAATTATAATATTGTATTTAATCAGTTTTTGGTAATATTTTTAAGAGACAATATGTTGGTAAGTACTAGTAAATAGCTACTATCCAGTGTTTCATGTCATAAATAAATTAAGGTTATAACTTTTTACTGAGCAACTATTTAGTAATTAAATAAGCATACATAGATAAATATTTTCTAATAATAAAATGGCCATGTTTTAAGATAGAAACGATGATGGATAAACTAGGTGAAAAAATTAACAGACTTGGTACAGTTTCTCAAGAACGATTATGTTGTTGATTATTTTTCTAGATTTCTATACTTCAATGAGAATTTTATTATTTATTTTATGTTAAGATAATAGAAAATAAAGTGGCCTAAAGGATTGACAAATACGTTATATTAATACATCTACGAAGGTACAACTTAGTGATTCACTAATAGGCATAGAAATACAACAATAACATATAAATGCATATTAATTTATGGATAAACTTACATAACAACATAACATTAAATATACTATACATACCTGGGAATAAATTATAACCATAATAATTTTATTATTGTTGTTATTGTGTTGGTTAATATTGGTTTATAGACAATTAGATATTGTACAGGTATGATATTAAATATTACGATATGCGTCTTTTACTTATACTTTATGTATTATAAGAGTCAAATTATAAAATTATTGATTTTATTTTATACTGACTGATAACTAATTTATAATAAATCATACTAGTTTGAGTTATTTTCGAATATCACAAGTTTTAATAAATAAGTATTATATTATGTTATGGTCAAATAAATAGTTATGTTTATTGAAGCATACAATATAGAATTGTAGATTAATTACACGTTTGGATACACGTAATCACTGATGAAAGAAAAGCCATAAATAGAATATGAGATAAAAACATATACCTTGACTGCCAGAACTCTTTTTACGTTCCTATATGTTTAATTATTTCATATTATCAATATGATATACAGTTCGGATTTAATTACAGAGTTATCGAGAAAATGTCGATAAAATACTTAAAAAATAGACCGATGATAATAATTGCTTAAAAAGAAATAAAGTAGTTCATAATAATTGCAAATTAATATTTGGAATGGCATGGAAAATATAAATTAAATAAACTTAAAAAATTACATTATGCGTTACACAATTACAAACTAAATCACATAAACAAACCTATTTGAAAGAAGTTCAAGGTAAGACGATATACCTGCAAGTTCCAGGCTGAGTATGCAAATTATATTTTTTTAAACACGATAAAATTAGTAGTACTAAGTACCAGCGGTGCAACCAGGATTTTTTTAGGAGGGGACCAGAAATAGAATTATTTTAAAGTAGCTACCAAATTTAATTGTTATTTTATAGTTTCATTAATGTAAATATTTTAATTATAATGTAAAACTGAATGATAATTAAATTTATTATGTAAAAAAAAGATAAAAGGTATGCACAAAATTATAAATTGAAATCTAAGCAATGTTTTGTATAGCTTAAATGTTGTATTACTTTTTCAAGTGTTACACTAACTTCGTAGTGGACATTGAGAGTAGTTAATCTATTTCGTTTTCTTTCTGATGTGGAATTTCTTAAATAAATCTTCGAATCAATTATTTAATTTTGCCAAACATTATCATTTTAGAAAGATACGATACGGTTCAAGGGGGGGGTCAAGACCCAGGGACCACTCCTCCTGGTTGTGCCGCTGCTAAGTACAAGTTAATAGTAATTAACAGTAAAAATTAGAAGACATTTTTAATACATCAATTCAGTTTCAAATCAAATTGAATACTGAACAATTATAATTCTCAAGTTAAGTTCAAAATATTTTCATTGTTATAATAATATTGAAAAAAATTACAAATTTTGTTTAAAAATCACGATAACCACTTTAAATGTTGTGAATTGTAATACTTTAGATATATTGCAAGTAGAAGTAAATGGTGTTTTTGCTTAATTTATAATATTAAAATAATATTACTTCACTTTCAATTAAACGTAGAGGAAAATAGTTTTAGGAAAATAAAAAAACTTCAAATTAATGCGTGATCTAAGTAAATAAATATAAATGCAATAAAACTTTTTAACTTAACTAAATTAAATATTAATTAGATGATAATTTTCTAGCCTTATTGATTATCTATATCATATTATAAACATTTTTAAATACATAATAGTTTGTTTATATTAATAGCATATTTTTCTATTCATATAAGGTTAGTAAACTGGTATAAATATATAATATATTATACGTTCTATAGTGTTATACGAGTCAAAGTATATTTATATAATATAGTAAGCTTTTAAACCATTTAATTTCATATTTATATTCATTTCGATTCGGTAAGTAATTGATTTAGTTATTAATTATTTTTAATATAAAATATATTATTTTTATTCAATATGAGTAAGGTAATGAAGTAAAGTAGTAAGTAGTTAAGTTTATAATTATTTTAATAATAATACAAATAGAGTAATAAATACTAATACACTAACAACTTATTATTTTTTTTTGGTCAGGTCGAATGTTCAATGTTAAAATATATTTTGCAGAAAATTTTATGAATTTTATCATCATTATGCATTTGATTTTGGTTATCTCTGCAGAAATCATTTATTGTTTAGTATTAATATGCCGTTTTTAATCACAAAATATTATCAAAAGTCAGTACATACGCTTTCAGTCTTATAGTACTTATGTATTATAATATAAACTACAACATGTGTGCGCATAATGTTTCATATATCTACATAATATTATAAAAACAAAAATAACACTTTTGTTGAGATAATATTTGATTAAATTATGTAAAATTTTTAGGTGCACGGATTTTCTTCATAATGAGAATTAGATTAATCTCATGAATTTAAGAGAAACACAACTGACATAATTAAAGGTTACACGACCTCGCCGATTGCTCGTAGATTACACGT